ACTGCAACACTTTTAGCCAAAGCCAGTATGCTCTAAAAATCACTGTCACTGACATTCTTATTCTCTTGAACATTGTCCTATACACTGGTGGTACACTGGAAACCATAGAAAAGTTTTAGAAAACAAATGCTGACTGGCACTGGTAGCAGAAGGTTTGTTTGTTTATTTTATTTACTGCTCTTCTGAACTACCCAAAAGCTGAAGCTCTCTAGGTGGTTCTCTGTTAGCATCTCAGGGCAGCAGCCAAAGCCAAACTAAAAATGCCTAGGTAAGATTAGAATTAAGCCACCCTTTCAGCTCTGCAAACATTCACATGCAGGAAGAAGCCTGGCAAAAGGCAAAATGACTTGCTGCAGCACCACCAGACATGTGGTGTTGTGTCTCTGCCTTTTCTTCAACATTGCTCTATGCCGTGGTGTCTGGGCACAACTCTGCTAACATACAGGGCTTCCTCTGCCGTTCTGTGGTGCTTGCATTATCGAAGGATCAGTCATGCACATTGCAAGCAAGACCTTAGCCCATGCATCAGGGGCAGGCAACCTGTTGCCCCGCTGCTCCAGGGTCCAACTCCCATAATCCCTAATCACTGGCCATGCTGACTGGGGCTGATGGGGGTTGTAGTCCAGAGCATTTGGGCAACTGCTGATTGCCTACTCCTGCCTACACTGCCTAATTTTATTTGCTGATGTCTCTGCCCTGCATTCTTCAGACTAGAACTCAACCCTGGCTTTGTAGGTCTTGCTTGTATACAGAAGTATATGCTTGCACAAATGCATGCATTTTGAAACAAGGGCATGGTAAAGACACTGAAGGCACTTCAGTATGAGCTTCCCAAAGTGCAGTTGTCTTGGGTTTGCAATATATGAAGGGCTTGTGCGTGCATGTGTGTTGAATATAGGATAGCCACGCTTCTCTTTTGCAGAGGACGTATCTCTGTGTGAAGGGCTTCAGGAGCATTGCCTGTCCAGTCCAAGTCTGGCCTAGAGATAAAAGTCTGTCCAAAGGGAGGGCAGCCGGGCCTTGAAGCTGCTCCTCAGCCCTTGGCTTCTAGAGCACAGACGGAGCAGGCTGACACACAGCTCACCTGGCCACAGCCGCCCCCCCCCCACCCCCACGAAATGGTGTCCCTGCTTAAGTTAAATGAGTGATCTATCCATTTAACAGCTATGGATGCACTTACATGTATTTATACAGATAAATCAGCATGTGCTCATTTTATGCAAATCTGTGTCCTCTTTTTGGTGTCCCATTTCCTCTTTGGCCATGCTAATCAAAGTACACAGGCATTCCTCCTCGACAAATGGATTAGTCCGATACACATTAGGATTTTGGAGTGGTACAAAAGCAGGCCCTTTAATGCTATTTAAAATGGCATATTAAGGCCCTCCAGCCGGCCAGACGAGAGAGTCCACTCTTGCCCATCCCTACCATTACGCTGTTCTTCAATTCTGCACCGCAAGTCAGGTTCTGCTCTTCTACTGAGCCAAATATCATTCAACATGAGCGAAAGTGACAGCACTCACGGGCGGCTGTTTATCGCCCATGACACAACGGGCACAGCCAGTGGGCTGCTACCAAAGAGGTAGACTTCCACCCAGCGTCTACTCTTGCATGCAGCCCTCATCTTGGGGCTCATCTTAGATTAGGGTAGTCGGCATCACCAGAAGCTCAGCAAGATCAGGAACGACACTTTTTTTTAGAACAGTCAGACCCACCATTGAGGAGGCGATCGCTCCTGGAAAGTTCCTCTGCTTGAGAGCTTTTGTTTTGTTCTTTACAGGCAGCTTTAGCCAAGTGCAACTGCGTGGGATTCACCTTGGTCACACGCACCGTTTGCATGCTTTGCAGTGAAGGGCAATAAGGCTGCTGGGGACTCAACAGGCATGGAGAATTATGGGCATCCTGTGGAGGGCAGAAGGGATGCAGCGGCAGAAGTCCCTTCTACATTTCTCCTGCCCTGCACAACATTTGGGCAGCTGATCTTGCCCTAGAGGGAGGGAGGCAGGGAGAGGCACTGCCAGGATACTGCTTGGGCCTGGGAGAGCCTGCCTTGTCTTGTCTCCTCCCCACTCCCCACTCCCCTCCCAACAAAGAACTCCCTCTCTGAGGTCACTCTTATGACCTCAAAGCCGCAGATGTTGATATTCACTCTTTGCCAGCTGCAACAAGGGCTTCTGAGGTCAGAACCGAGACGCTAAATACTCCTATGGCTGTCTCGTCTCTGTCTAGGATTGCATCCTTAGGTATGCATTTCCTTCAGGCTGTTCCACTGAGCAATAAATCTGGGTTGCCCCCCCCCCACTGTGCTCTCAACAAGGAGCTGCAGCCAATTCTAGCACCCTGACAGGTGCCACTGGATGACACATGGATTCGCAAACTTCTGCTTGTCACGTTCTGCATTTTGAGGTGTGGGTCTCACCAGTCCTGTGGGCATACCTAGAAAAGCAGCACATGAGAGTGACCTCTGATATACCCCAAAAGCTATAGAGCTTGGACCCAGGATATGCCTTCAGTGGACAGAAGGGCTTGTGGTGCCCACAGAAGAGGTGTCCACCACTTAATCTGTGGAAATCCCCCTACCATGCATCCAACCTCTCCCTATTCAGCAGGCTCCACTGGCCCAGGGTCTGCTGTGGGGAGGATGGAGCAGCAAAGTCCACCTTTACCAGAGCAGTCATGCAGGCACCTAAACCTGGATCCAACCCACAATCAATGTTGGAGGCCACAGACTGGTTTGGGCAAGCTTCTCATTTTGTAATCAGGGCATCTTCCATCCCATGCTGAAAGACCAGGTCCTTTACTGGTCCCAAAACAGTATCATTAGTTTCTGGAGAAGGCATTCCAGGGCACCAAGACCAAAAGGCTGTGTTAGCCCCTAAGAGGGGAGAGTGGTTCCCAGTCTACTTGGGCTTAAATCCCACACCTGGATATTTTTCCCAGCTGAGCAGCTTCAAGGATGCAACTTTGACTGGGAAAATAATGCAGGAGGACAGTGTTAAGGCCCCTCCATCTTCCAGCAGCTGTGTAAAACTAATTACTTAAAAAATAGAAAGGGTGGAACCCTAAACACAATTCTCCAGCATCACGTGGCCCTTAGTTCCATTGGGCCTCGTGGGACATGGGAAATAGGGCCATGAACAGGCTTTTGTAGCCCTTCTTTTGCCCAGTGCCCCACGATTTCAGCCACTGCACACTATTTATGCCTATCCCTTAATCCATGTATCAACTTATTTCCAGCATGGGAGACAAAGGTATTGCATAGCCAGAAGTGGCGGGATCACTGTGTTGGCCCACTTTCTGTTTTCTTCACCTCCTTGAGCTACTGATTCGCCAGCAATTTCCCAGGTGGGATCCCTGGAGACATTAAATTTGAGCAAGGCCACTTCACCATCTCACTGCAAGTTTCACCTTATTGGTACCAGGTATGGCCTATTTCCTCCATGGACATGCCAGATGTGGAATGCAGCTGTGCTGTAGTTCCCTTCTGAGACTACCTAGCCTCTCATGAAAGGGTGGGCAACAAAGGTTGCCCTTGGAGCCCTGTGAGGTAGTGGCTCAGAGGATGCGCCCCCACTAACCAACTCTTTCCCCCTCCCAACCATGCAGGGATGGGGGGCTGGGGGTCAGCATCCCTGCCCTGCCTGCTGAGACTAGGATAGCTGGGGAGAAGGAAAAACCCTTTCCCACCCCCACCCCAGTGATCCCCTCTAAGAAGGCTGTTTCCCCACTGCTTTTACCAGTGAACAGTGAGCTTAATGGGTAGCTTTGGAGCAGACAAGGTGGTATATAAATGCAAATAGAGCATTACATAATTGCATTGCTGTGAAGGAGGCGAATGGCTCTTCCACTCCCCAGGGATGCGGGCTGCACCGGCATCGCTGTGGAGGGAGGCTGAAGCCACTCTCCCTGCCCGGCAGCCCTGACCGGGAGCAGTGGTCCTTCCCACGCACGTCCTCTGCACAGTCCAGTGCTGCTGCTCTGTTCCAGAGGTTCTCCTTCCCCTGCTGGATGGAGTGGCCTCCTGGTAGATGGGAAGGACCAAGCAGCAATATCGCATCCAGGCATCCCCTTTCCCCAAAGCTCCTCCAGCCTCATCAGAACGGGCTGACACAGCCGACATCCTCTGCTTCCTGGAAAGAGCAGGCCACCTGGAACAGGTTCGATTGCTCCCAGGATGGCCTTTTGGCTCTTGTAGTTGCCCCCATTCACTGAGGTCCCTGTTAATTTGTTGCCCCTTACATGGCACAAACCAAAGGGAAAGCAGGCAGTGAACAGGCTTCAAAGTCTCTTATGTCAATGGAGAAGAAAAGGGAGGGGAGGCACCAGAGCAAGCAGCTTGAGAAAAGCCCCCAAACACAGACAAGGAGATTCCATCATGGACAACCCGTGGATCTCGCTCACAACACTATCCATTAAAAAACTTTAGAGCCACAGCAGTGCGAAGCTGAAATGCCTGGATCCCAGAGGGATTCGAGACAAAGAGGAGTCCTCCGCAGCCAGGTCTCCCCCAGACGATTTGGGCAGCACCTTCAAGCGCCCCCAGCCAAAAGGTACTGGCTGGAGCATGCTGAGAGTTGTAGCCCAGCACATCTGGAGGGCACCAGCTAGAAAAGCAGCCACGGGAAAGCCCCATATGGGCCAGAAATAATCTCACAAGCAGCAGCCAAACTTACAGCAATCTAAGTCAGCTACCAGGATGGAGTGTAATATTGAACAATGTCTACCAGTAGCATAAGAAGAGACTGAAAGTAAACCTTGACGAATCCCAGCGTCATGAATAAGCCCCGGAACGCCAAAGGGCTATGCCACAGCAAGCTGGCATCCCTCTGCCCGCATCCAGATGTGTTCAGAGCAAACTTGTTTCTGCTCAGGACCTGAATGGGCTCTCCCCTTTGACAGCCAGAGAGGGTGGGAAGCATGCAGTGCTGAAGCCCATGCAACCCCCTCCCCAATTCTTTCTGAGCTGCATACCACCTGGAAGCAGCAGAGCCGAACTTTACCTAAAAGGCCTCAAGGTGACGAGACATCTTCTGACCATTATTTTCCCATCTGAATTCACTGTAATCATTGTTCAAACTTTTTTTACAAAAAGGAAAAAGAAGGAAAAAGGAAAGGAGAAGGAAGGAGATAATGAGTAAGTTCAATCCCAGTTATTGGAAAGAGCTCATGACTAGAGGCTTTTTAAAAGGATCTGCATACAAAAGAAGTGTAGAATGGACCCAATACATCCAAATCCAGAAAGGGCAATGAATCCTCCTTTCCCTCTTAGGTGCTGCCTCCGTTGCTTTCCTCTTAACAGATGTCTGCTTCAGAAGAAAAAGTAAGATGAAACCAGAGAAAGCAGGACTGGGTGGTTGTGGCAGCTCGGGCAATGTTTCAGTCACATTTTAGAGGCAAAGCATAGCAGACGCAACAGCCCTCCCTTCTTGCCAAGTATTAAATCCACTGCTCAGGTGAAAAACACCTGGATCCGGGCACTCTTCTGCTCACGGGGTCCTTCATCCCAGCCAGTGCCTCCCCTCACTCCGCTTGCACCTGGACCAAAACCAAAACCCTGCTGCCAATTGTTTGCTTTTCTCCTTGTCTCAGCTTCAACACTTCCAGCAGGTAGGTGCCATTTCCCACGGTTGTTTCCTCTTTGAGAGGCGATTCTCGGTCACAGCCAGAGGAGGAGCAGGAGGAGATGTGGTTAAAGTGGCCAGCTCCATCCCACTTCGACAGCTGCCTCGTCTCATCCTGGCCATCTGAAACACTCCGCTTTCGCCTTGCAAAGAGGCTGCATTGTTTCCATCTGGGAAGGATGCGCTGCTCCCAGCCAGAAGGGGAAGAAGAAGAAGGGGAAGAAGAAGAAGAAGAAGAAGAAGAAGAAAAAAGGGATGCTCCGTGGAGAAACTGTGAGGTGGGCGCCATCTAGTGGCAGCCGAGGGGACCGCCCGTGTGTCGGGGACGCGTTCTGCTGCAACTAAGAAAACAGCTGTGAGCGGCTATTACAGAGCGGCTTAGTAGGACGGGGCTTGCTTCCTATTCATAACACAGGCCTGGCCAACTCCTAAGCCGCCAGGTGGGAGCGTCTGTACTCCGGGCATTACCAGCACCTGCACGGCGAAAGTGGGGCAGTCAGAGGCCTCGGGTGTGGTTGCTGCAATCGATGAGATCATCACCGGATTGCACTGCTGGAAGCATTGCTTAGTGGCGCTGGCTTTGCACGGGGGCTGGAAACTTCAGCTGGCCAGAAGGTACTGGCCAGTCTGAGGAAGACTGTGCTGGCGCTGGGAGCTTTGTCCTGGCTAAGTTTCAAGGGCCAGTTCAAAGTGGGCCCTTTGAACTGATCCACCCGATCCACCCCATCCAGTTGTGCTGCCTCTGGCAGGATTTTAGGGGCTCCACTGAAGGTGGGGGGGGGGGGTATCCAACCTCAGCCTTATTCCAGATATGTGAGACAACTGGGCCTAAGATGTGGGGACAAATCTCTTGCTACAGACCCTGGGGGCCAAAAGGGGTGGGGTGGATGTGTTCCCACCCCCAGGGCAATTTGCTCAGCCAGACCCTTTTTCCATTCTCTCCATCCAGATGTACAGAGCAGGAGAGAGGGGTTGCAATCAGGAAAACCACTGAGAAAGAAGCACAGGTGCCCCACCTGCCTACAAAATTAAAATTCCAAAAGCCCTGTTAGAGGAATAAATTTTATTAGGGCCAACTCGAGGCCACAAAACAATGAGCAAATTTGCCAGAACTCTACATCAGGCAAGAAGGTAAACAGAGAAAGGGGAACATGGCTGATAATGGAGTACAAAGTCACCATCTAGTTCCACATAAGATGTGGCATGGGAGGAGCAGTAGAGGCATTCAAGTTAGGCTCTGTCAGGTGCTGAAATGTTTTAATTTGCACCCAGGGCCCATCTTTCTGTGGTGCAGGAGCGGGAGAAAGAATAGTTGGTCTCCCATTGTTGAAAATACAAAATTGAGGTGTTAACCTGGTACAGTCTCTATCCTTAGGTAAAATGTACAAGTTCCTTGGGATGTGGGAAACTGAAGTAGAAACACGGCAATTTTTGTATTAAAAAAGCTGGAAGTAATTTTAGAAGGTGTGTTTTTGTTTTTGTTGTTATAGAAATTTTCATTTCTATACTGCCCAATAGTCAAAGCTCTCTGGGTAGTTTATAACAGTACAGTAAAAAGTACAATGAAGTACAGTAAAAATGCCATAAAATCTTATAAACTAAAAATAGCTGAAAACTTACACTGGAGAATAACCCTATAAAAGAAGAACACTTGTAATGAATAAACCCCTCAAGCCATGACCAAGCGTATCTTTAAAGGTATCAGCATAAAGGGCCATCTTCACCTGGCACCAAAGAAACCCAAAAAACAAATTCAGGAAGATTCCCCACTCAAAAAAAAAAAAAAACAGGCACATGGGCAACATTGGCTAAGAGCTTCTCTGCATGAGGCATTTATTGTCCCCTCCTAATGCATCCTTTTCAGAGTTTGCGGGGCCTTTTCATGACACTGTCATGCTCCAGAGCCATTCCCATGTTCCCCAGCCTTTTTTGTGGATTTTGTTAGAGCAAGCCAAGTCTGCTGTTCAATGTTAAAACCATGTATTGCTGCAGCCCTGCTATAGTCCAGTGGAGATGCAAAGATCCAGCTGGAAGCAGGCTCTCTTTGCACTTCTTTCCCGTGCTCAGCTCTGGCCAGGAAGCAAGCCAAGCTGAGATCATCTCCACAAATGCTCAGGAGCACTGCGGCACCCTCCTTTGCACAAAGTACACAGAGTTGGCACAGCTTTGCACAGCCAGCACAATTCATGTGGGCAGAAGCAAAACGCCGCCTGTGGGCAGCGTGTGCAACAGGGGGCCTTGCAGGCTCATGTGGATTTGCTTCCTGCTGGGAGCCCTTCTGAACACACGATGCAAGGCAGACACAGGGCAGAGAGAAGGTGGGGTGCAGCCCAGGGAAATCCCATGGGTTCTCACCCCAAAACTGGGCTCCTCTTAGGTGCGGCTGTGCTACATCACCACCTTGTGGCTGACGATATAGAAAAGCAGACCACAGTGAAAACAGGCGGTTATGTAGAGAAACCCTAAGTTGTTCCCATGACTTGCCTTGCTGAGGGTAACCCTCATTAAAGGTTTAAAGCACTTTGGGGACACAGCTGAATCCCCCATGGTCCTTCTCATGGCATTTGCTCTACAATTCCTCAGAACTAAGCTCAGCATGATAGCTGGTTGCTTGTAGGGTACAGCCCCATCTAGGCCGGGTAGAAGTGGGAAACATAGAGAAGTCCCTCTCTCGAGGGCAGAGGAGGACAAACTCCCCAGTGTTGAAAATTATCAACCCTACCTATGGCCATTCCCAGTGAAGAACAAGCATCCAGAGGTGCCCATTGAAGCGGTGAGAGAGAGAGCCATATGGAAGACAAACATTCACAACAAGCTCCAAACTTGTTGAATCTTACAATTTTCTTTAGCACATTCCGTGATCTTCTTCCACCACAAACTACGAATTCTACCGACACACAGTTCAGCCTGCCAGTACGAGGGGAGTTGTTCCCTCTCTCCTGCTTCCTGCCCACCTCTGCACCACCTGGAAATCTGATTGAGAGGGATTCCCAACCCTCTGGAGAAGGTTTTGTGGGCATACAGGGGGCTGTGAGGAGTGGGGAGGAAGGAATTGCTCTCTTCTTGGTTCCACAGACAGAAGTAGTTCCAACAATGGAGTGACTTTATTGGATCCAGCCCTGAAGCTGGAGAAGACATTTGGCAGAAGAACAAAAATTGATGTGAAATCAGGGTAGTGGAACTTGTTTCTGACAGATTATGCATCACATATACAGGAGTAATAGAAATCGGGAGACTGCATCGATTCAAGTCTAGTCATTGTAGCAGCATATTTAACAAAGTCAAAAATGAGAAAGTCAGAGGGCGTTTTTGAAAGGCTGCATGTTTTAACTTTAACTTTGACATATTTGTCAAAGGGAATTAATACCAACTAGCAGGCGTATTAATTATGTAAAATGAACAGGCTGCTCAGCGGGTAGAAAAGAATGCAGCAGTTACCTAGTTACTCAAGCCTGTTTTGTAATACATTAGGAGAGACTAAATCCAAGTCATAAATATTGCTCAAGCATGTAACCACGATCATCATCAATTCCAGCCAGAATTTTCTGTTCTCTTCCTCCACCAAAGGAATCTTAACATTTCTTGGGTTTCTGGCTCATAACATTTTTGCAGCGACCAACATATTGTTAGCCACCTGGTATCATTTCTTTTTGTACCCAACTCCTCAAATAATTTTAAAAATGTATGGCATAAAAACTACTCTGTTGTTATGATTATACTCCTGGAGGCCTTTACACTCCAAAGGGGATCTGAGATAGTGGGTTGGATCCCACATCTTTATTCTGTGAGCAGAAGGATACTGCCTGTGTAACAAGGCTTCTGCATCCTCTCTTCTCCCCTGCCATCCACATAAGCTCTCCAAAGCGTCTCCAGATGGTCCTCCAACCCTCCAAAACAGATGAGGGAGGAGTGTACAGAGTAGGGAGGAGGAGGAGGAGGAGGAGGTATGGGCATCTTGTTCCACAAGTGGAATTTTTCCAGTGGAGGAATGAAGATGCAGGCTCCAAGCCGAACATCCATGGCTATTTATCAAGGAAGCAGTTCTCAGCCTGTCCTACCTTGTAGGGAAGGTAGGGCTGCTGGGAGCATTCCCCATCACACCATGATTATCATTCAAAGGTGTGATTTCCTGTTCTTGCCACCACCTTTCAGCCTTCAGGTGAGCAGTTCCTTCTTTTCAAAAGATAACTTTTCAAAAGATAAATGTTTAGCATCTACATGCATGTATGTGCTTACCAAAATATACTTCTTGTTCTCTGCAGTTAATTATTGTGCTACATTCCAGGATTGTACTAATGAATACTTTTCTATACTGCTTGTGCTGTGGTTAATGTGCCCAACTATAAATAATGGATTCCACAATTACAGTCATCTCTCCTGGCCGAGGTCTGACGTAACAACAAACCATCACTGCAGAGACTTGACCTGCTTCCCCTGCCTGAAAGTA